GTTTATCAGTACTAGTCCTAACACTCTTCTAGACTATAAATAGACATCACATTTTTCCCAGTAGATAGCCTGTTGTCCCAGAATCTTGCAGTTGTACAAGACTATTATCCCACTTCAAGTCCCTCTGAAGTATGAGGGATTAAAATGTGCTATACTTTTTTTTCCCAGGACACGGCTGTGTGCACCTGGGTTATTCCCAGGATATGCTGTGATATGCACTCTCTCCAGCTACCTACTGGTGAAGGAGCATCAAGGCAATGCGGGACAGTAGCATGTGTAAATGATTTTGCCATGCCTGTTTTGATCCAGTACAAATGCCAGGACAACCAGGCCTGCATCAAATGTGATACCTAGTTACATCCTTAGATGTGTTCAACCTTAGTCCCACTGGAGCCAGTGGGAGCTTTACCACTGAGAATGGCAAATTATAGGCAACCTTGCTAGAACAAGCCCTTTTTCTTATGCTTAGTTCTGGCAAGATTTTAATGAACTTTTAGGGGCTAGTAAGCCTTCGCAGAAACAAGTAGAGAATGAAATATGGATAACAACACACATAGGCAGTACCATGTTCTCATTAATATGGAATGTAAAGAGGCATATAAAGACCACGCTTATGTCTTTTTATGTATGTTTTTGATGGAATAAGAGTATTGTTATATCTGTGATACACTAAAAGATTATGCAATATGTCATAGGGACACACTGAACTTGATTAAAAGATATATGCATGGGTAATCCCAATGAGGTGAATATGACTATTCAAGTAAACCACAGCTTTCCAGGAGGAATAAATAATTTACTTTTTGTCCCATAATATAATTTTTATAAGAAGTATTTGTGCTAACATTTGCATTTATTTATGCCTAAATGGCATCTGAACTCTACTAAGAACCTGGTCATTAATGTGTGCTGAGCATTTCAAAATCTAGACCTCAGGTTTCTTGAAAATCTGTCACAAACTGAGCATGAATAATATAAATGAAAAGGGGGGACCCCTGCACTTTTCACCCAACATCAACCTCACACACATTTCTAAGTTAATCTTTTTTTGTTCACAGCATAAATACTGGGCTATTTAAATATAGTAGCAATCATAATGTTGACACAAGAACTGATTTGATCAAGAACAGTGGTATCAATAGACACTTCAGCACATCGCTTTTTTCTTCCAGTGCAGCACCCCTCTCTCAACAGACAGGAGCTAGTGGTATTTGTTGCAATATGTCACTTGATGTTATTGCATTGAAAAGTGGCCCAGTACCTGAAAAGCAACGATGATATGAAATGTAAGAAGGAAATGGGCCAAAACAAAAGAGGAAAACATGTAAAAATGAAAATTTTATTCATACAAGTTCTGGATAGAGCATTGATACATTGTCTGGACTGCCTGTCCAAACTGAGCTTGAGCTCTTAAACCTTTTCGAGCTTTGTGTATCAATAGGCAATATTGAAGTGTCATTGAAGTGATCTGTGCCATGTATGTACACAGTGTTACTCAGAATAAACGAAAGTATCAGGCTCTAGTCTACTATCCATTGTTGTGGGTTTTTTTGAATCAGAATTCCATTTTCCTCTATATCAGAGTCCATTTATAACACAATGGTGTAGCTTGAATTAATTGTGTGATGTGAGACCTCCATGGTATAAATATAAAAATAAGCACTCTACTCTACTCTACAGACATTGCAAAACAAGAATGCAATCGGTATGCTGTTCTTTTGAGAGGTTGCAGCCCCAGATCAGTTAAGACATTTACAGTAGTACTGAATTCTGCTCAGTACCTGTATTTTTACCATATCTAACTGAATTAGTTATTTGCTAGACAAAGAACAATGAGGCTTTAAATAGTTATCTCATTAGGCTGCTCTGAAAAGTGTTTGTCTTCCAAGTACATTTAGCTTTTGGTGTAGTTCAGTGTTTCCAAGAGCCTTGCAAAAGTGTAAAGCAGATAAGAAAAAATGTGTATTGAAAAGAAAGGTATTGAATTTTTATTGAAAATTACTTAATTCAACTCATTTTTATATAGAAAAAAAATAGTGGCTAGTGAAGTGTTTAAAAATAAACATTTTTTGAACAATAGCTTTGCCATTTCAATCTTTTTGCTGATCTCCAATTGGACCTGTATCTTGCTATGGGCAAGTGTTTCAGTTCAAGTGTGTGTACAGGTGTTGCATTTAGATTGACCTAACCAGGGTTAGGTTGAGCTAAATGCACTCTCATACAGGTGTCCAGAGGGTTTAATACAGCCAAAAATGGTGCAGGCTGTGCTGTTCATATCCCCCAAACCTGGCCAGACCATTTTTAGCCCCCTCCTTCCAGCTTCTCCCCCCATCCCTGAAGATCTGCCAGCCCCCAAAATATGATCCCTTACCACAGGTTGCCTATTCTGCTCCTGGGAGCAGTGAAAGACTGCATGTACTGCTCCCAATCTAGGTTTAAGTGGCCTAAATTAAGCTGCCTAAACCTAGACTAGGTACAGTGAATGCGTGTTTGCTCCCCAGATGAGCATCTCACCTTTGGATGTTTGAACATTATCTGAGTTATCCAGATCTCTTGGCTGTAACTCTCTTAAGAACAAATGTAGATCTGCATGACTCCTTAATACTATTTAATTCTGTTTGTAATGGGAAAAAAGAGTAGAAACATTAATGTTCGACATCACGCTGTAGATTTTAATTAAGATCATTCATTTTCTAAATAGTACCAAATAGTACACTTTCCTGTCTGTGTGAAATCTCAGGATTCAATACCTGAAGCTAACACTGCATTCAGACCCTTGCATGATATTCCCATAAATGCTAGAAAATGGAAACTGTTCATTAGAACAATAAAAGGAGATAAAAATTAAGAATCATTCCCACTTCCAAAAAACCTAAAAAATAGCTGCCCTGTGTTTTTTTTTATGAATCTGTTTCCTTGAGGAGCACAAAAATCTTAATACATTGAATATGCTGCAGTGCTGCCACTCTGATTTGTGAGGTGCCCCAAGCTGCCCAAAGGGAGATGATTTGTCTCCCATATTATTGTTATGTGTGGTTCCACTGTTTAAGGAGAGACCACCAAGTAATTGGTTTCAGTGCTGCTGGCACAGCCAATGAATTGCTGAGGGCTGGATTCTGATTTGGATACTGTGCCTTCTGTAAAGGAATTTGGGGGCGTAAATTGTTTTACATCCCCATGGGAGCTAGCAGGACCTTAGTTCTGCCCATGCCAGATAGGATGGATAATCTTTTGTACAGACAAAATGGCATGATTTCCAGCTGATATAGGCCTACATTTGCAGGTCCTATATCATTTTCCCTCCTTCCCTGGTGCAAGGGAGAAACATAGAAAAAGTAGTATCTCCAAATGTCTTTGAAGAACCTCTTGACTATTTCTGGCAGAGGTGGTTGAGAGGTGCAGAGAGGCAAAAGCTTTTGTAAGTGAGAACCTAATTTTACAGTTACATATGTGGTAACTGTTGCCTACAAAAGCTTATGCTTCTCTGAACCAGCTAGTACCTAAGGTGCCACCCTGTTCTACCTTTTGCCTGACTTTAGACTAACACGGTTAATTAGTTTTCTTGAATTTTTCTATGATAGTGCAGCTCGGTTGTCCTTAATAGTACAAACTGGGTGTATCTACACATACGCTTTACTGTGGAGCTGACTAATTAGCTCAGCAGGA